ATTTTTCTTTTAGTTTAACCCGCCCCGCACCCGCATATGTATAAACCCGCACCACCCCGCATATGTCTAAACCCGCCCCGCCTCGCACCCGCACCGCCCCATTGCCATCCCTAAGGCAGGTTGCAAGCAACTCAATGAAATGACTTGCAACAGCTTCTTGGTTTGATGAGATTAATTTAAATCGATCTGAAATAGTGGTGGATAATATTCTCTACAAATTCAACTTTTGAGAAGATGGTATACAAAATTGGAATGCGGAGACTCAAATATTTGAATCAAGGTTTTCATCGGAGGGAGTAAAATACGCGATGCACTCTTTTTTCCTTACTAAGGTTTTTTTCCCACGGGGTTTTTCTTATAAGGCTTTTAATGAGGCACATTATCCTTTAATGAACATCCAAGGGGTAGTATTATAAATATATATTATATTATGGATGTTCATTTAGTACTCCGTTATGGATAAATATTACTCCCGGTAGAAGATTATCCACAACAGCTTGCAGTAGGAGCTTACAAGCAACTTACAAGCAGCTTACACAGCAGCTTGCAGTAGCAGCTTACACATCAGCTTCCTTTCTTTTATAAATAGAGGAGATTTAGTTCATTATTTACATGAATTCGAAGTTGAATAATAAATCTCTCTCTCTCTACATGTCTTCGTTTTTTTACTTTAAAGTCTTTATTTTATAACAAAAGAATGCTTAACTTGTCAAGCAATAATTATTCGGGTCAATAATTATTCGAGTGATTTACAAGAATGGCCTTGGAAGTGGGTGGTCTTGAACTTTTGACCCTGTTTGTCCCATGGCAAACGTTTTATCCCTTCTTTGTTGTAACTTTGTTCTCAATAAATAAACGGAAAAGGGCCAAAATTGCCCCTACACTATTCGCTTAAGTTTAAAAATACCTTCCGTCCACCTATTTTGTAAAAATTGCCCTCACCGTTATAAATCTGGCCCATTCATGCCCCTAACGTCAACTTTTCGGCCCACTCATACCCTAAAAACTAACAGCCCTATTTTGATTAAGAAAAAAATTTATTATTTATTATGTGTTAATTTCTTATTGGTTTAAATTAAAACCTCACCCCATATCCACTTATTAGCCTACATCGACTTAGATTTTCACCCTTTAACACCCACGGATCTACCTCTCAATCTCAGATTTTTCGGCGTTAATTTAATTTTTAAATTAACAATGTTTTTTATTAAATCAATTTTCTGAGTGAAATCAGGTACTCTTTGAAAATAATGCTTCATTGTAAGATTTTATGGTTTAATAAGTTATTTTTCTGCCAATAGTAATGATCATTGAGCATTTGCAATATTTTTTGTTGTATATTTCCTGACAACACTGCATCCAATTTTGATTATACCAATGATTTATTTGGTCTCTTCTCGGACCTCGACCTTTTTCTTCTTCATTGGCTCATCATAGTCTGAACATCCGACCATGTCCATAAATTAAGTTATTGTACGTGCATGCTCTTCAGGTTATATCAACACCGCCAATTTTAAAAAAGAGACGGTTAAATCAAGAGAAATATTTGAGATCATATGCCTGAGAATATGAGAGAATACGACTTATTGGTGAATGTGACTGTAATAAACACTTGATTGAGCTTATTGTATGAAGCAGTAAAGTGTAGTAAGAAAAATTGATGATGAATGATATTTCTGTGATGGAAAAAAATAGGAGTATTGATGTGCACATTTAATATACAAAGAACTAGGAAGAGGAAGGTGATTAACTATACGAGAGAGTTTTGTTTGCTTAGGGAAAAAAATGGGTGTATGAGAGTTCTAGTTGGTGGAATAATTTTTAAAAGAAAGAGGAGAAAGAAACGGAGGAAAAGGGTCTTAGAATGTGGGTGAGTTTTATTTTAATTTAGGTGAGTCTTAAGTTAGGCCAATGGGACGATGACACATGGAAATTAATTAAGTTTTTTTTTTTTTTTTGCCTAACAGGGTCTTTGAAAGTTGTATGACGTAAAGTATTGGTGACAAAAAATTTTGGTTGTCTGAAAATAAAACTTTAATGATGTTTGTAGTGATTATTTCAATAGAGTGCAAGGTCAACAAAAGGATGAGAAGAACAAGAAAAATATGAACGCACACACGCTAGGGGGAGGGTGGAGGGGGGTGGGGGGAGAGATTTTTTGAGATGGGGGTATTATTGTACCAACTCCAATAGTCTAGGAGCAGTTTTAATCTTTTTTCCATTATGACACGTGGAAATTAATTAAATTTTTTTTTATCTAACATGGCCGTTAGTCGTAAGGGCATTCTTGAGCCGAAAAGATAACGGTAAGGGTAATTTTTTCAAAATAGGTGGACGGAGGGCATTATTATACCACCTTTTTCCAATAAATAAAATGCTTGTTCACAGTGTCCATGGGGCAAGTATGAGACAAAACTTCAAGATCACCCTTACAATGGTGTCTGTATTTCTGCAATTTTAGCATAATTTACTGATCCCTTTTGCTCCGAAGATTCCAAAGGCATATTAAAGATTTAAGTCAGTGGATGCAGAGTTATCCTGTACCTGCTGCCTTCAATATATATCCGCCCTGTGGAGGATTAAGTCAAGATTAACTGCAATTCCAATTCTTGATGTTTTGCTGTCTTAATTGCTATTGGGATTTGTTGATTTTATTATTAATCCACTCATGTTTTTCTCGTGTTATTTTTCCAGATTCTTTAGATAGCTAATTATCTTCAACTTTAATTTTAGAACGTTTAGCATGGAACTATGGTGAATTGCTCTAGCGGTGAGCACCCTCCACTTCCAACCAAAAGTTTGTGAGTTCGAGTCACCCCAAGAACAAGCTGGGAAGTTCTTGGAGGGAGGGATGTCGAGGGTCTATTGGAAACAACCTCTCTACCCAATTGTTGTTGTAGCAGGGAACTATGGGATGCACAGTTAGGCATGTAGAATCACCTGAAAGCTATGGTTGAAGAAAAAATGGTCGTTGACTGTCAAGTCAATGAACTTGTTCTCTACGCACTTCACTCGATCAGACAGTGAGATGGGAACTGTGAATAGATGCACCATCCTTTTTAGTTAATATCACCTTTAACTTTAAGTTAACTTTTTATTGTACTAAATATTTTCCTCCCTTTCTTAGTTCTTGATTTATGGACTAACTGAGACAACAAGGTGTAACTATTTAGTGTTACAAAAGCATCTGAATTACTTTGTGTATCTTGATAATGGTTCTACTTATTTTGTTTTTTTGGGCATCCGATATTTGAAACTCATTGGTCCTGCTAATATGAATTAAGGAATGCCAAGCAGGCCCACTAAGGGGTAAAGTGCTCTTTGCCGAGAGGTTCTCTACTTCCAACTCGAATGCGAGACCTTTGGTTAAACGGGGACAAAGACGGATCCAAACTCTCAAGTTTATGGGTTCCTATAACGATCTCAAGTTACTAATTGGGTTCACAATCAAATATTTAATAAATTTTTTAATACATATACAAGGACAGTGCAAAAGCTATTGGGTTCCCGGGAACCCGCACATTGCCCTCTAGATCCGCCACTGAACGGGGAGGAGTCCCAACCATCGCACCACAACCCTTGATGTATCTGTTAATAATTTGAGCAATATCATCATACAGTTCCAAGCATCCTTACATTTCTTTCTTTCTCTGTACTATGGCTCTGAATGATTTGTCCTGTTCCAGTGTGCACATCAAACAGTGGCAAGACAAGATGTTGCATATATTCCGGTCAACATTCTCTTGACACTACTAACTACTAAGCTTGGATTCAGAGTTCCTTATAAAGTATAAAAACGTTTTCACACAATATGCTCATTATTTACCATACCGTATTGGGGTAGGATGGATGAAGTGGAGGTTAGCATCCGGAGTTTTGTGTGACAAGAGAGTGCCAACGATATTCAAAGGTAAGTTCTATAAAGCGGTGGTTAGACCGGCCATGATGTACGAGGCTGAGTGTTGGCCTGTTAAGAACTCACATATCCAAAAGATAAAAGTAGCAGAAATGAGGATGTTGAGGTGGATGTGCGGGCACACTAGGTTGGACAAGATTAGAAATGATGATATTCGAGAGAAGGTGCATGTGGCCCCCATTGATAACAAGATGCGGGAAGCGAGACTCAGATGGTTCGGACATGTACAGAGGAGAAGCCTGATGCTCCAGTAAGGAGGTGTGAGCGACTGGTTGTGGAGGGAATGAGAAGAGGTAGAGGTCGGCCAAAGAAGTATTGGGGAGAAGTGATCAGACAGGATATGGCGGGGCTTCAGATTTCTGAGGATATGACACTTGATAGGAAGTTGTGGAGGTCGAGTATTACGGTTGTAGGTTAGGAGGTAGTTGACTCTTGCGCTACCTTGTTCTGTTGTAAGCCTAGTTTGGTAGGGTTTTTGTCTGAAATAGCTAGGGGCATTGTCGTGTCTTACTATTTTCTCTTTCGGTGCAGGACCTATTTACTAGCCATCATTTTTGTGTCGCATTTTTCCTTATGCATTTTATGTTCCTATTTTTCCTATGATCTCTGTGTTGAAACTAATATTCTCTCCTTTTTGTTTTTCTTATTATCTTGAGCCGAGGGTCTTCCGGAAACAGCCTCTCTACTCCTTCGGGGTGGGGGTAAGGTCTGCGTACATACTACCCTCCCCAGACCCCACTTGTGGGATTTTACTGGGTTGTTGTTGTTGTTGTATCTCCTCTTTGGAACAAATATTTCTAGCAGCAGAATCTGATAAATATTTCTTCTGCCTGGTTTTATTCCTTAGCAGCTGTATCGCAGGATAACTTGTGACGTTCAATGAAAATAAGTATATACACAATCAAGACAAGTACCTATTACAAATTAAAATTCCACTTCACACTCACTGTTCCCCGCCTTTTACGCGGAAAAGATGCTTTTCAAGACAGATGATGAGATTCTTTCAAGTGCTAGCTATGGTTAATAAAGTGTGTCCTCATTTAAGTTATCCTACTTAAAGCACACATATGAAGACCTACTCATTTGATCAACTTCCTTATATGAAATGAAAGGGTCAACTGGTGCAAGCGTCCATAACCCTGATGAAGTGATTGTTGATCTTGACGCTGATATTAAATATGAGCGTGATGCAAATTTATCCAACTCAAAGACAGGCACAGAGTGCTTACCAATTGCAGATATGTCTGAGATCAGGAAGAAAGGGACATCACGACGAAACTCAAAGCTGCTCGTTAAAAATAAGAAGTCCAGGTTTGAAGACATAGTATGGGAGTATACAAGATTGGGAAAAGTTAGCAGCAAAGAGCAAGATGAAGATTGGTTCATAGATGAAGACTTTTTTGAGGAATCCATATCTAAGAAGTTAAGTTTGTGGACAATTTTTCAACTGGTGAGTCTCGTGTTGATTCTGATGGCATTAACCTGTACCTTCTCAGTTTCTAAACTAAAGAAACTAAAACTATGGGATCTTCCATTGTGGAAGTCGGAAATCTTCTTATTAGTGATCATATCAGGCCATTTACTCTGCGGTTGGGGTGTACGAGCTATAGTTTTCTGTATCGAACGTGGTTTTTTACAGAAGCTGAGGGTTCTTTACTTTGTGTATGGACTCAAAAAGGCTTTTCAGAATTGCCTGTGGGTAGTTCTAATCGTGATTGCTTGACATTTCTTGGTAGTAGAAAAGATGGCTTACGAGAGGAAAAGCAAAGTATTACGTTATCTGACGAAAAGTCTGCTCTGCATATTGGTGGCTACCTTGATCTGGTTTATGAAGGTAATTATTGTTAAGATTCTTGCTTCATCATCACAATAAGAAGTTTTTCAAAAGAATCACACAGTATCTTGTCAAACAATATGTGATAAAAAGCTTATCAGACTCCCTAAATGGTGAAAATAGTATGTCACAAAAGGGTGAGATGAGGAATGTAACAGATGCCAAGAATATTAGTAGTACTACTTACTTTCCATGGGGATTTGATGGAAAAAGGAGCCATAAACGCTCGAATAATTGTTTACAAAAATGGACTAGATTGTATATGTCTAACATGGGAAAGAAGAGTGTAAAGAGGCTAGTTCAAGGAGGGCTCATCCCAACTCTTTCAACTATGGACGAAGATTTTTCTGATTTAAGTGACGAAGAGGATGAGGAATCATCTTGTCGCAATGCTAGAAAGCTAGCTCGGAAGATATTCAAGAAAGTCGCTAAGGGATCTGAGTAAGTTTTAACTTTTAATTTGTTTGATTAAGCTCAACTGTTCTCCTAGTGCAATATGCTTTATTCTCTGTTGTAAGATAGAAGGGGAGCCTTGACGTAACTGGTAAAGTTGCTGTCATGTGACAAAGAGGTCACGGGTTTGAGCCGTGGAAATAGCCTCTTGCAAAAATGCAGGGTAAGGCTGCGTACGATAGACCCTTGTGGTCCGGCCATTCCCCGGACCCCGCGCATAGTGGGAGCTTAGTGCACGGAGTTTTCCTCTCTATTGTTAGATCGTTAAAATTAGAACTTGCTACAAGCTTACATGATACAAGAACCAGAATTGTTAAGCTTTTTGTACTCTACATACCTTTCAAGCCTGATGGTGTAAACCGGAGCAAGCATTGTTTAGCTGGTAGTCCCAATGGTCCATAATAAGTAACTTTTTTAACTTTTTATTTTGGTCCGAAATAAGTGTCTTTTTACATGATTAAGAAGGAATTCACTTTATTTTTCCAAATTTACCCTTATTTACTTATCCCTAGAAGGTCTTTTAAATTACTCCAATTTTTAATGATAACATTAAATAGGTTCAGCAATTGATGTGCACTATGACGTGAGAATAACTCCCTCACATTTTTATCACCTTCTCAGGCTGATCGCCATTAATATAACTAGATTTATGAGGCTCACTTATGGTTTCGTCAAGGCTAATCAAGAGTCTTATAAATTGAAGGAGTGAATTGAGAGGTTTATGTGTTGCTTCGATAAGTGCCACCGTAAGTTGGAGTATAATAGAGCTATGGTAAGCGCTACTATAACTACTGATGCAAATTTTAACTAAGGGTAGATTAGTCACAATACTTATTTTTCCTAGGAGTTAGTATTTTCTTAATGGGTGTGCCATCGGGAAAAAAAAAGGCACTTATTATGGACCGAAGGGAGTAAGACTTTGTTCACTGAAGTTTCCATGTCAAATAGGTGTATTGGACTGGAGGATTTGAAACGCTTTGTGGCACATGAAAAAGCTTTGAAGAGCATTGATCTATTTGAAGGAAGAGAAGAAGAAGCACGTATTGATCAACAATATTTCATCAATTGGATGGTGAGTTCTAGTTTTACCATTGTCACCAATTGGCTATACCTAATCCATGAGGTCAAGTTGAAAACTGACTATACTTATGTCCCTATTAGTTTTACACTAGAGTTGTTTTACTGCTGTAATCATGCCAATATCCTTTATGTTTTCGATTTTAAGGTTGAGGCGTTCAAGGAAAGGAGATATATTCTATGTTCTCTAAATGATGCAAAAACAGCAGTGGAGGAACTTCATCGTTTGATGAACGTACTTGTGTCCTTGCTCATTTTGATCCTCTGGCTTTTCCTTTTTGAGATTCAAATAAGTCATCTTCTCGTGCTTGTAAGCTCTCAGCTGCTCGTGATGGGATTCATCTTCGGAAACACCTGCAGGACAGTATTCGAGGCAATCATATTTCTGTTTATAATGCACCCATTCGACGTGGGTGATCGTTGTGAAGTAGATGGAGTGCAGGCAAGCATCATTTTTACTGCCTCTAAAGTTATAGCTTACTTACCTGCTCATTTATGCATGTTTCAATACAGATGGTTGTAGAGGAGGTGAATATTCTAACAACTATATTTGAGAGATATGACTTCCAAAAGGTTACTAAGGCCATTGGTAATTATAACCGCAGTGGTGATATGGCAGATCAAATTGAGTTCTCTATTCACATTTCTACTCCCTGGGACAATATTATCACTATGAAGGAAAAGATAAAGAGGTATGTGGATAAATTTCATGTGTTTTGCTACTTTCTAAAGCTCTCAAGGCAGTGGCGGATCTAGACTAGACCTAGCGGGTTTGACAGAATCCACTGCGTTTAGCTCGGCCTATATATGTGTGAAACAACTTGGCACATATGACCAGGAAGTCACGGGTTCGAGCCGTGGCGTAACTGGTAAAGTTGCTGCCATGTGACCAGGAGGTCACAGGTTCGAGCCGTGGAAACAACTCTTACAAAAATTTGTGGTCAAGCTCTTCCCTGGACCCGACGCATGCAGGAGCTTAGTGCACCGGGCTGCCTGTTCTAAACAACTTGGCACATATGTAAAGAGCAAAACCATTTAACTCTAAATCCAGAATTCGCCACTGGCTAAAGGACTGAACTGCATTGCTATCTGACTCATTGTTTCTTTGGCTTCTTGAAACAGGTATATAGAAAGCAATGGTAAGTATTGGTACTCAAAGCCAGTAATTTTTGTGAAGGATGTACAAGATATGAACAGATTAGTAATGACAGTTTGGCCGCGGCACAAAATGAACCATCAAGACATGATGGAGAGATGGATTAGAAGATCCTCATTGATCGATGGAATGATCAATATTTTCCGGGAGCTAAATATCGAATACAGGATGCTGCCTCTTGAAGTTAACGTCCGAAACTTGCCTGGAACATCAGATAGGCTTGTTTCAAATTGGAGTACTTGTTCTGCACCATATTACAACGTTTAAATGTTCCTATGGTGCCATTACAGACACTCCTGCAACTCTATAAGGCGCTGTTTATATGATTTTTCATGGGTAAGAAGATGAGAAGTAGCAGTAATGCCTGTTATGAATAAGATGTAACTGTGGCCTGTGGATGCTTCTGGTAATTCATGAATTCACAGAAATGTTTATTAGTGGCTCTACTTCTCTGTAATAGCCAAAATAGTAATTGCAAAAGAAGCATTAGTCGAATAATCTGAAGAAAATGCTACACCTATTTTGAATTTGAATCCACATTGTAGAGCAAAATTTGCATGTTGATTAGCATTCAAATGTGATTTTTTTTTTTGGAATCCCAGGAAAACCCGCAGCCGCTACAGCCTCTGCCCTTCGGGTGAGCACTCTGTGCGCACTGGGTAAATTCCCACTGTGTAATAGCCTGCAAACCACACAGTAGATGTAAACAACACTAGGCAAGCCCTGTGTGACAGGCTCGACCCATAAGGCATTAAGGGGGGTTCGATCTGATCCCAGGTCATGTGTATGCAGGGGCAGCTCAAGCGTATATGGGGCCTAGGACGAAAGTTTAATATGGGGCCTTATTTTTCATTGTTTGTCAAAAATTGTCAAGAGCTACTTTTTGAGATTTTATTAAATTTTCAACTTTTCTTTTCTTTTGTATTTTGAATAACCAAATGCATAATTTCTTGTTGACATATTTATATTCTAAAAAAAAATTAAACAATATATATAGAGAAAAATTAATAAAATAATAAATAACAAATAAAAATAATACAAGAAAGTTAGAATGATATTACCCAATGACTGACTGATTCAAGAAGTTTGAAGACTTTGATTCCAAAATATCTAGTTGTTGGCTTGTTGGACTCTTGGAGAAAGAAAGAGATCCAGTAGAAAGAATTAAGAAGATGAGCATAAATCATAAATAAAGAGGAACGAAGAAGATATGTCTTTTGGAATATGAAGAATAAATGAATACTAGCACTAGAATTGTAACGTTGGCTAGGGATTACTTGGAAGAATAAAAAGTAGAGTTGTCAAATCAAATCAAAGTGACAACTATTTTCCTACTACTTTAAACTTTAATTTATTAATATATCTATAGTTTTTCTTTCTTTTTATATCTTTTTGACTTTGCAAGAGTAGTTTCATCGGTGGAAGGGAGGGAGAAGGTTTGGAACACCAATTCCTCTCGTGAAAAGACTAACTTCCCAAAGGTTAACCCAATAGTCAGGTTTCATTACTTCCGAAATCCTGAAAAGTACAAAAGTACTATTTACATATATTTTTTTTTTAAAAAAAAAAACCTATAAATCTATAAAATATACTCCTTATTCCTAAAAAATGGGGGCCCCCAAAATTAGGGGCCTAAGGCACTTGCCTTACCCCATACTACGTTAAAGCCGGCCCTGTGTGTATGGATGACCGCCCTCCAAACCAATTGGGCCATCCCCGAAGGGGACTCAAATGTGATTATTGCACCGGTTCAAAATAGGGAAAATCTCATTTTATACTCATTAAATTCAAACTATTTACCCTTAAATACACATACCAAAACTATTTACTTTCCCTACCTATGTAATAAAAACTATTTACCCGCCCACATTAGAATACCCATACCTCAATAATAGAATTCTGAGAAATAAAATATTTTTCTCAGACTATGGCTTTTCCATAGGTTCTCTAAATATTTCTAATACAAGATTACCATTTACAGTACTTTAAATCTAATTCCTAAAAGGAAGAGAATTAGAAACAAAACCTCGGAAATGGAGTGCTCCAAAGTAGGATCGGGATGGGGAATCCTGTCGCATGCTTCATCGAAAACAACTGACACCTTTTACCCAAAGCACATTCAGATTATATTATTTGGTCTCCAATTAAATGTAGCTAATATTATTCTTTGATGTGTAGATTGTACCTTTGATGCTGGTTTTTGGAGATTTTTTGTACAAAAATTTAAATCCACCATTGACGGACCTTGAAGTTTGAAACTCATAACTTAGTTTGTTTGAGTTTTAAATTGTTTTGATCCAATCCTGTATGAGTTAGTTTAGAAAGTCGATTGGAGGTTGTAGCTAAAGTTTTAGTCAATTTGGTGGAGATTTTATAGTAAATTTTAGAAATTTGAGGTGAAATATAGTTGAACCAGAGAAGAAGGCGAATTTGTATTGTATACCCAAATAGTATACAAATATACCATTTTAGTATACAATTCATTCCAACTATATACCCTATTAGTATAGCTATATACTATATTGGTATCATATGTTAGTTGAATTGTTTTTTGATTGTATTAGCTGCATTTAGTTGGTATAATATTTGATTTTCTTTTAATAATAGTAATATAGTACAATATCTTGAAATACCTTATTATATTAATATGTGGTACACTATTTTTTTTATTTTTCTCTTTATGCATGTGTGTTATGTAATAATAGTATAGTCATATAGTTGCCGGGAATTAACTAGTAAAACTGTATACCATATTGGTATAGTTATATACCATATTGGTATCATATGGTAGTTTGAACATTGTTTTGGTTGTTTTAGCTGCATTTTAAGCGAATTCTATTATGAAATTATTTATATCAACATGAGTTGCAATAATGCTGGAATTTTTGTGTGCCGATGGACATAAATTGTGTGTATTAATAGTTTTTATAGTTATAGGAAATTGTTGGAACGACCCCATACAACTATATACCTTCTTAGTATACGAAATGAGCAAGTTGTTTTGCGAATATTTAGCTTGCAATACGAGCATGTAATTTTCTCATACTTTTATTGCGTCCTTTAATGTCTTGGTAGAGTAGTATAGTCGCAGATAGTTGTAGAAATCATATGCTCTGTTGGTATACATATATACCATATTGGTATCACATGGTACTAGAAGTCTTTTTCGCTACTTGTACTTTTTGTTGTATTTTTTAATATTTTATTATCATTTTTATTCTAACTAGTATATATGAAGATTTGGTTGCCATAGATTATGTTTTCTTGCTCTATAACTGATTGTATTACTGCTAATGGTAGAGTGTGTATTGATATTATAGGGAAGGAGATCAAGGTTTGCATGGGAACCACGTGTTGATTCTTAGAATTTGATTATGTAATTTATGGTGCTCAACAGCAGTCAATGTGATATCCAGTGTATTAGATCAAGTGACAACTGATATTATTTCAGCTTATAATTGAATTTAAAAAATGAGAAAAAAAAAGGTATATTGTACTAGTTATATTAAAAAAAGGTGAACAAATATTTACTATATCAATTATTTTTCTTATAGTATAAAAAAAGAATAATAAAAAATAGTGAAAATGGTAAATGAAATTAGATTATGAAGAGAAAAAGAATATAAAAAAACAAGAAGTTAAATGAAATTAGAAAAGGAAAAAAGAAAAAAATAAAGAGAAAACGAGAAAAAAGAAAAGCAGAAAAGAAAAAAAGAGAAGAAAAGAAGCATAGAAATAAAAAAGAATTGGAGAATAAAGAAAATTCCCCACAAAAGTTACTATGGGTAGGAAATGTAATTAATTTATGGGTAGAAAAACAAATAGGTAGACAAGGGTAAATAGTTTTGTTTTTGTGAGTAGCTATGTCAAAACCCCTTCAAAATAAGCTATGCTGCGCAGACTCTCCAAAAATGTTGCTGCACTTGTATCGGATCCTCAAAAAATGCACTACTTTTGGAAGATCCGACGTGCACCCGGCACCATTTTTACAGAGTCCGAGCAACATAGACCATCTGCTGACAAATTCCAAACTCGAAAACCTTAGAACAAGTGGTTAGGGTTCTTCGTTATTGCTAATCACAAAACTTTCAAGGTTTTATCCTATCTGATTCTTTTCTCAATAATGCTCACATTTCCTTGTACCTTTCTCTATCATTCAACCCATAATTTTGGTATACTCATGAGTCATGATTTCTAGCTAAGCCACCAAAGACAACGCTGTCCAAGTGTCTTTACACATTCCCGCGCAGGATTTGCACAAATTATATCGTTCAAGCCTCTACTGCAATCTTCTGATTTCCACATCTGCTATAATCGTTTATTTCGTTCCTTATGAGCATGAATTGAACCTTTATTATCCCCTTAGTCCTTAAGGCATTAATCGGATAATACAGTCTAGAATGAGTTTCCTAAAATAATTACTTTCTTAATGAGGTATTTTTGCAATACCACTGCCATAGCAAGAAAGACAAAGTGAGAGAAACAAGATCTTTGTTAAAAACAGAAGAAAGGAGTTTAAAGCATGCCCCCTTTGTAATGCATGAAAAATGTAGCTGCAACATCTCATTCAAAAGTACAAAAAGCTTCCGTTCAAACCATTCCTTACAAGAGAAAATAGAATGGCTAACCTGCTTAGTGGCATTACGAACATGTAAAGCCTTAGCTTCCATAGCCATTACCACCAATGCCTTGACCACAACCCCAAATGTATGCTGCTAACTTAACTACAATGTATTTACTCGTCCCATGCTGGTAATTACAAGCATACTATAGGAATTTATATATCCATTTTCCACTAAAATCTTTGCTAGTTAAAATGGGTATCTGCCACTAAACATGTAAACCAGGGCGTCAATGCTAGATAAATGAAGCAAGATTAGCACATTTTCGCTGCAACCATGTCAGTCGTATGCTGCTGCTGTTAAGAGAAATGAACATCTCCCTTAGACTGGGATTGTCGAATAGATCCAAAGCTGCATAATAAAGATGGTCTGTAACGCCTTCTATCTCATCCAACGCTTTGACACATTTATGAATTGAAAATCTTCCATCAACTTGAGGCATAACAACTGTCTGCAACTTTGAAGCAGCAATCATCTCCTGTATCGCTTCTGCCATAGAATCAATTATCTCTTTATCCCCACAGCTCTGGTCAGAAGCAGGAGCTATATCTGATGAACACTTCCTCTTTTTACAAGCTACATTCCTTGTTGCAGTTTGTTGTGAAGTAGCAGCGCTATGTAAAGGTGTTGGCGATGAAGGATTTACAGGAGCCAAGTTGCTAGTTTCTTTAAATGAGCTATCTAGCCCAGCAGATTTGTCCATCCCTTCATAGTGACTTGATTGGGCGTACTTCCCAACCGCACCCGAGTCAGCAAATATTGTGCACAGCTGCTCATAGATAGGGCACTCCTTGGGTTTGCTTGATTCAGGCTTCGGCTGAGCCTGTTTCCATTGAACTGTTAGGAAACTGTAGGGCGAGGGGGGGGGGTGGGTGAAAATTCAAGCAGATATACAAAAAAAGAGACAGAGAAATACCCCAATGTCTTCCCAAAGGTCAAAACCAATGTAGCAAGA